ATGTCATAAAGCTCAATCATCTCAGACTGCTGAACATGACGATGAGTTCACTGTACTCAAATGGCCTCCACAGTCACCAGAGCTCAATCCAATAGAGCAGCTTTGGGATGTGGTGGAACGGGAGATTGGCATCATGGATGTGCAGCCGACAAATCTGCAGCAACTGTGTGATGCTATCATGACAATATGGAGCAAAATCTCTGAGGAATATTTCCAGTACCCTGCTGAATTTACACCACCAAGGATTAAAGCAGTTCTGAAGGCAAAAGGGGTTCAACACAGTACTAGTGAGGTGTACCTAATAAAGTGGCCAGTGAGTGTATGCTGGAATAGTACTTCAGGCCTGAAGTTTGATCCTCCTGTTAGCAGTGGACCGGACACCACGCAGACCTGCTGAGTTTATCTGGACGGGTTTATCTCGGGTTCAGATGAACACGTGGAACATGAGCTCAATAAACAGCGCTCAGATGAAGAAATACTGCTGTTTACAGTGTCCCGTCATCACACACTCACACACCGCACAATAACACACACTCACTTCATCTGCTTTATACCAGCTGAAGACTGCACGGTGAGACCTCCACTGTCAGCTCAATCCTCCTCTAGATATTTACCAAGAGATTCTCCAACACATCTCTGATCATAACAGTGTTCATAACTCATCTCTAATAACTGATTTATTTCCTCTTCATCATGATGACAGTAAATAATATTAGACTAGATATTCTTCAAGACACTTCTATACAGCTGAAAGTGACATGTAAAGGCTTCACTAGGGTAATTAGGGTAAAGTTAGTGTATAACAGTGGTTTGCTCTGGAGACAATTGAATATAATGGTTTGTTAAGGGGGCTAATAATATTAACCACAGCCGTTTTTACCTTTGTTCAAGTTCTTGTTTTCAGCCAAAAGACGTTCCCCAAATGAAAATAAGATTACAGTAAAGACATTGAGCAGCTGTCAGCTGTAGTTGTGGGTAAACTGGATAATGTTCAGCTGATTTCAGCTTCCAGGTTTAAAATGATTTTTGGGGCGGATCAAAATCAGTGGCGTAGCGCAAAACTGCACGTGCACAGATGACACGTCGAGTTCTCATTATTATTCATAACAGAGTTTTCTTATCCTATGAGAAGAGCCGGCTGCTTAATTATTCATGACTGTGCTGCTTTCCGAAGGCAAGACAGCAGACCTGCCAGTGCCGAGCTGTGAGACACGGACCCACCGCACACAGGATTCAGCTGTTCATGTAGGCTCCTGTGTGTTTGTTTCCATGATCCACGGGGTTTTGTTGCATGTTTTTCCCCGTGATGAATTGGAGAATGCCGGACGTTGTCTTTTATCAGGAGTTTGTTCACAGTTAGACACATCGCCGTGCTGCTGTTCAACTAAATCCTCCAGATGAGCAGCAGGGCTAATGGCTACAATAGACAGGGCAGGAGACCTGCTGCACTGAGTCTGCATTCAGACCCGGGGATTGAGGGAGAAGTGCTCGTTTAGTGTTTATATGAACACCATTATCTTTATAATCATATGAGTTATCAGTGTATGAAATTACGAATAACAAATGTAGCAGGGCATTAATTACTGTTTATTTCTTTGCATTTTAACTCTGTAAACTATAAACTCATGCGTCTCCTCATGGTTTGTGTCTCATTTTGTGAGTCGACTGACTACAGTTGTTCACGCCCCTCCTTCTCCCCTGCTGGCCACGCCCACTCCTGCCTCACGGAGCTCCGCCCATTATGATGCATCTTTTGAAAAAATTCTGAGGTAAACCTGAACCGAAAGTGGGGGTGTCATGACTCACACTGTGTACATGATGACTGCAAACACACTAACAGCACTAATAAACACATGAATGAGGAAGTGTGTGTGTGTGTGTGTGTGTGTGTGTGTGTGTGTGTGTGTGTGTGTGTGTGTGTGTGTGTGCTGGTTTTATTGGATTATAAGGACAGTGTTTTTGAGTAATGTCGTGGGTTTGACCTGGTTGTACTCCATCACTCACTCTATCATGTACTTTAACCCAAACACACAGTCAGACAGTTGCAGCTCATCCAGAACACTGCGGCCAGGAACCAGAAGCGGAAGATTACAGCACATCTATTCTAGCCAAAACAAAACAAATAAGCCTTTCTCCAGAAGAAAAATATTAGAGGAAACACTGTTAAAACTCCTTGCTCTGTTAAACATCATTTGGGAAATATTTATTTTAAAAAAACTCTCAGGAGCGCTAATAATTTTGACTTCAACTAATAATCGTTTGGAATAATCGTGATTATGATTTTTCCCAAAATCGAGCAGCCCTAGGACACGCCTGATGTCCGTGTAGATCAACATGCTTTAAACACTGCAAAAACACCGTGTTTCCAGCCCAAATATCTACAAACTCTTAGATCAAGAAGCGTTTTCTAGACAAGAATGAAGTATAGTGTTGATTTCAGAAATAATGAGTCAAGATGAAGCGAATTTCTGCTTAAAACAAGCACAATAACATGACAATGAGGGAGGAAAGGTAATGTCATTTGGTTCTTTTGACATGAGATCATCCTGCTTCCTCCAGTGTCAGATTATTCTGCTTGTATTCATGAAAATCTCTCTTCATTTCTGAAACTAGACTATAGTGTGTGCTTGTCTAGAAAATGCTGCTTGATTTAAGAAGATTTCTGTATTTGGACTGGAAACAATAGAAAAGCTCTGAGTAAGAGCAGTATTTACGCAGTGCAATCACACCTAATGGAGCTTTAGATATGGAGGCGCTGCCGGCCGCGGGTCTGCTGTGCGGGTGGGCTCATCATATAGAGCTTTCCACTGTACAAGTAATAATTTACGCTGATCAAGAGTCCTCATTAACCACCAATACTAGCATGTGTGTGTCCTGAATGATCTGCATTATGTCGAGTGTGTGTGTGTGAGTGTGTGTGTGTGTGTGTGCGCTCCTCATGAGCTCCAGCAGGAGCGGCAGGCGCTGACGGGTCAGAGGTGATGAAGTGAAAACTCTGGTGGGAAAATCACTGACATTTCCCTGAAAGGCCACGAGAGCAGAGCAGGTGACAGATCTGATCCGTCCGAGCGCTCAATGACCCAACACACACACACACACACACACAACGGAGAACGACACGCCACCGCTGCTATTGTAGCGGCTGTCACACACACACACACACACACTCACGCACGCATTCACGCACGCAACCTGCAATTTGACCATTAAAATGTCATGAGACGCATTTGAAAGCAGCGGAAGTGGAGAATAAAGAGGAGAAGCGGAGACAGTCAAACACACACACAAAGACGAGGACGGACGTGACGGACGATGATGATGATGGAGTAATGAGGACACACACACACACACACACACACACACTTTTAATGCATCTGACAGACAGAGTTATCCAGTGCATTGCAGAAACGCATGTCTGAGCAGCTCCTGCCTTCTCTGGGAACCGAACAGCATGTGCTGCTGGAACTGCAGCGTTCTGGAGTCACACTGGAGCACAGGTGTCAAATCCAGAGAGCCACAGCTCTGCACAGTTCCTAATTAAACCCACTCGATCACTCTGATTGAGTCCTCCAGGCGTGTTTGAAACCTACAGGCGAGTGTGTTGAAGCAGGGTCGGAGCTGCGGCTCTCCTGGACTTGACACCTGTGCACTACAGGCTTACTTACACCTGAGTTAGTAACATATGGCCCATTCCCACTGAGTCGTACCCTACGGTTGGGTTGGGTGCGCTTTTATGGCTGTTTCCACTGTCAAAAGCTAGCTAAAGCGAACGTACCGTAACACTTTTAGCATTCCCTTTCGGAAGGGCACCAGCTTTGGTTTACAGAGATACGTCACTCACTCATGCACAAGCAGGAGAATGAACACAAAGGAAGCTCCATGTTTTACACACACAGCCGAGACATTACAGCGTATTAATATACACATATAATCATGAGCCATGGTCGACCCGAGCGTCTTAATAAACAGCCTCTAAGCCAAGAGGAACAGACTCTAAGCATGAGTGGTTTCACTTCCTCCAGAGATCTGCCTGTGCTCGTCTGTATCTGAAATAAGCTGAGCTGATGATAATAACGAAAGGTTAGTAATGAACATTTACACAGAAGTCTTGACGTAAATAAAGCATTAGTTTAGTAGGAAGTGCTTCTCATATGAAAACGTCAAGAGAGAATGAGCTTGACTACAGCTTTCAGTCCACCACGCCTACCGAAAGTGTTCCATTCAGCAGTGGAGACACACGCCTGACAAAGGTGACCCGCAGAAGCGTAGTGTACCGCACCACTCAGTGAAGACAAGGCATGAAATAGTTCTTACTTCAGTCGCACCACGAGTTTTTAGTGATGTCTTATAAACAGATTTGAGGAGGAGCCCCATCTAATTCATCACACACACACACACACACACACACACACACACACACACACACACACACAAACAGTGAAACAGTGTTTAGGGTGTGATTATAAGTGATTATAAAGGATGTGCAGCACCTGAAACTACAGATACTGGAGTCCTGTGCTGGCATTTCTCCTGTGGTGTTGATATCAGGGTTTGAAGAGTGGGAGAAGAGGGTTGCACTGACAATAACCCTAACACAATGGGCAGCACACTGAACACATTTTAGAAGTGGTCAGAAACTTGTAAATAACTTATGAAAGAATAAAGTTACATTTAAATCAAGCACACCATTGCTTTTCTTGTGAAATTTCCAATAAGTTTGATGTGTCACATGACCCTCTTCGGATTGAAAAAACAAAAGTTGGATTCAAGATGGCCGACTTCAAAATAGCAAAAAAAAAGTTTGCCCCCTCACATATACTAATGTGCCACAAACAGGACGCTAATATCACCAATAGAGGTGTGAACCTACACTAGTCTCATGGTTCGGTTACGATTATCATGCCATCGATTCGGTTCAATTCGATATTTCGGTGCATCACGGTGCATTGACGATGCTTTCCATACACCGTTTTATATTTTCTTCACAGCAGCATTTCTTGTATTAAATGTATGAATATATTTACATTTATATACTATTTGTAATACAATTTTGTCATTTGATACAAACAGTCAGATATATGAACTGTAACTTTAAACAAAACGAGCATTAAGCAAATAATATAAACAAATATAAATATCCAGCTCACTCTCTGATCCTTGTCTAGTTCTCTTACACCCCTTTGATTGGTCACACCCTCAACAAAAACGGTTGCGATTGGCTCTTGCGCGCTGCGTTCTTCACAGATGAGTGATACTGATAAGCGGCAGGCAGCAGCGGCGATCTCACAGCTGATGCATGATAGACACGGTGGAGAAAACTCTGCAGACACGCGCTCGTTCCTGTATGCAAAAGTAACGCTGTAAAACAGTCGAGAAGAGAAGAAAAGCCACGCCAGCAGGTCAAATGGGCCACTGTGTGTGTGTGTGAGAAAGAGAGAGAGAGAGAGAGAGAGAGAGAGAGAAAGAGACAGAGGAGTAGGCTACTTTCATTCTCTGGATCTCAGTGAAATAGGGGCTATTGTTGTATATGTCAGTGAAAGACTGATCCAGCAAACACACACAGTGAAATTGTGCACAGTTTATGAGTTTTAAGTAGTTAAAGCGCTGTAAATACTCGCGATCGCCTCCCTCGCGACAGAGTGCATATGAGGTAAATGACGTCAGCAATAACCGGTTATGATTATTACTGAACCAATACTGAATTGTCCGCGTCTGCATCGCAGTGCACCGAAAAACGATTATTTTTGACACCCCTAATCACCAACCATTCCCGTTTTATTAAGGTGCATCCATATAAATGGCCCACCCTGTAGTATAAATAATATGGGTTTAAACAAATCCTTAATTTATGTTGATGCACAATGATTGTAAAAAACATGATCTGAAATCTCTGCCTTTACTTTAAAGACAGTGTTTAAATCAGTGCACTCTCCGACTACAGTGCTTCATGAGGGCTATGTTGAGAAATGAACACTCTAAATTCAACATATGTTAAAGGATCTGCCGGGTTTATTGCTATAATATGAGCTGAGGTTATGTATTAATGTTATAGTGAGTTAAACAGAAGCGGTATGAACACAGTAAGGTAAATTAAAGATATTTAAGTGCACTCGATTATAGATGTGGACGCTGAATAACCCTGGCTCACTCGTGACATCGAGCGCTGCTGTACCGCTGCACAAATCCGTTTATAATCAGAGTTGCAGAGCTGTGTGTCTGTTGCTCATTAAACTGGTGACGTATGCGTGTGCGTGTGTGTGCGTGTGTGTGTGTGTGTGCGTGTGTGTGTGCGTGTGTGTGTGTGTGCGTGTGTGTGTGTGTGTGCGTGTGTGTGTGTGTGCGTGTGTGTGTGTGTGTGTGTGGCAGCTTTATGACTCGCTCCAGCATCTGTTCATATTGACCTTTGATGAACGTCTGATAATGCAGAAGCGAGTGTGATCAAACAGGCGTACACACACACACACACACACACACACACGCACACAAACACACACGCACACACACACAGCATGGCTTCTGGTTATTCTGCAGTAAATATGAAATTCTACAATATGTGGACGGATGAACACACACACCGCTGGAGGAGCTGAGGAGATTGTGTGTGTGAGAATGAGTATTGATGAGCGCCGACACACACCTGAGGGTCACACACACACAGAAATAACTTGCCTTGAAGTAAACCAGGGCTTTCAGTGTGTGTGTGTGTGTGTGTGTGTGTGTGTGTGAAAGTAAGTGTGAATAAGTATGTGCATGGGTTTGTGTGTATACTGTGTGTGTGTGTGTGTGTGTGTGTATTCATGTGTGAAAATATGTGTATATGTAGTGTGTAAGTGTGCAGTTACTGAGTGTGTGTGTGTGTGTGTGTGTGTGTGTGTGTGTGTGTGTGTGTGTGTGTGTGTGTGTGTGTAAGAGAGTGTGTGATTTTGTGTGCGAGTGTGTGTGTGTTAAATAATGTGTGTATAATGTGTGTGAGTTTGTATATAGCGCATATTTGTGTATAATGTGTAAGAGTGTGTGTAGTGCTTGGGTTTGTGCATAGTGTGTGAGTGCAAGGTTGTGTGCGAGTATGTGTGTTTGATAATATGTATATAGTGTGAGAGTGTGTATAGTGTGTATAGCGTGTGTGATTGTGTGTATTGTGTAAGAGTGTGTGAGCATGTAACATCTTTTTGTGTGTGTGTGTGCATGAGATTGTGTATGCGTGTTAATTGCGTGTGTTTGTGAGTGTGTGTGTGTGTGTGTGTGCGCGTGCATTGATGTCCTGTGATCAATGCTGGTGTGTGTGTGTGTGTTGTACCTGCAGCCGTGCGTTCAGCAGCATAAACTCCTGCTGCTTCTGGAAGTTCTGCTCCATGCCTTTGGACAACACGAAACCCATCCTGAAGGACAGACAGAATCAGAATCAGCACAATAATCAAAATCATGGCAAGCACCATAATCACACAATCATGACCACCACAGAACCACCACAATCACAATCACAGAATCACCACAATCATAAAATCACCACAATCACAGAATCACAAATATTGAATAACCACAATCATGACAACCACACAACCATCACAGAATCACCACAATCAAAATCACCACAATCACATTATCATCACAATTATGACCACCAAAAATCATCCTGTTCACAGAATCATCAAAGTCATAACAACCACACAATCATCACAATCACAGAATCACCACAATCATGACCATCACAGAATTAACACAATCACAGAATAATCAAAATCATGACAACCACACAATCACAGAATCAGCAAAATCATAGAATCATCACAACCACACAATCATCACAATCATAGAATCATCAAAATCTTGACAACCATAATGAACACAATCATAGAATCAGCACAATAATTAAAATCATCACAATCAGAGATTGATCTCAATCATAGAATTAAAACAATCATCATAATAACAGAATTAGTACAATAATCACAACCACAGAACCAAAATCATCACAACCACAGAACCAAAATCATCACAACCACAGAACACAGATTCATTATAATCACAGTGTAGGAGCCATACATTGTATTTTGGCTATTGGCCACAAGGTGTCAGTAGGAGACTATATAACTGTGGCTTCACTGCATGGAGGAAGACAGTGTTGGTAGGAAGCACACAGTTTTTGACCGTATCGTATTGCATCGTCTCGTAACTGAAGGTAACAGAGAAGTGCGCTTTTAGATAAAGGAAAGCGATTGAGTAATTCTGTTGATTGGAAGTTGATTGGACAATAAATATGTTTTTATTTGCATCTATTTGCTTACGGACTCTGTCTTTTACGCGTTAAAAACTTGCTCACTCTACCAACAATAGCGGCATTGGTAAGCCGCTACACACAGAATCAGTACAATCATTGAAATCATCACCATCAGAGAAAACAACCCTAAACCCTAATCACATAAAACAGAATCATATGAACAATTTAATCACAACAAAATCACAAATGCTGCGTCCCAATCCACATACCACCATCCTAAACAGCATTGGAAACTAGAATTATCATGTCCCAAACCACAGTGTGTTGTAAAGAGAATGGTAAAAACCATACTTTCTGGAAAAAACTCAGCGTAGAAGCGTCCATACTCTAACCGCTGATATTACCCACAGTGCATTGATGTTGGACATGAATTCGATAAGAACTACAATCTCAGGTAAAAAATGTAAATAAACTACAAACATGGTGGATACGTGAGACCAACTGTCAAGTAGAGAGAGGCTTCAGTAAAGATGTTATTATGACTGTTCATGAATATCGAGTCCAGTGGAGCACGTTTAAATCATGTGTTCTGGGTTACACTTCACCTGCAACAACAACACCGAACTCATAAAGATGTGTTTGGACATCTGAATGCAGAGTTACACAAACACCTGAGGAGATCTCTCTGTGCCAAAGACTCGTGAATGGCAGATTATACTGCTGCTGCTTCTCCAATAAGCTAGAAAATAAATATAACGGTGACGTGGGTGAGGTGTGGAGATGATGGACAGGGAATGGAACTAAGCAACACAATGATCTGTTAATGAGGCAGTAGTGTGTGTGTGTGTGTGTGTGTGTGTGTGTGTGTGTGTGCCAAAGCTTGCACACTCTTCTTCTGTTACACACTCAACAGTGTGTAGATTTCCTTCACAAAATAAAGAAAAGAAAAAAAAGAGTACATACTTTTAGGGTGTACTATAAGTATATGAATTGGGACACAGCAACAGAATCATCAGCATCACAGAATCATCTGCATTTCTAAATAATCACAATCACAAAAAAATTAAATATCAGAAAGAAAATCATCAGCATCATCAGAATTTCAGAATCATCACATTCACAGACACTCAGAATAAAAAATAATCTAAAATCCATACTGAGAAACTTGAATTTCACAGCAATTTCATCAAATATTTCATCTAATAAACACCAGAAGTAATAATGTCATATTAATACCACTCTGTGATGAAAACCATGTAGAATCATAAACATACACAAGCGGCAGGTTCATTATAAACAAATATAAACATTTAAAATGAGCAGAATCAATGAACCGAACGTCTTCCTGCCAGTGTGCCAATAATATCATGCAATCATGCAATCCACAAAAGGTATCCACAAACTGCTTATGATCATTTAAAAAAATAGCTTAATTACAAGTACCTGATTTTCAGAATCTATTTAGCTAATCCGGATGACATTTCATCAATTATATCTAAATAATTTGACACCATTGCTGCTTGCAGCTATTAATAATCTGCTCAAATGAATGATGATGGTTTGAGTTTATGAAATGACTGCAGACTTGTTTCTGTCACAGAATAAAAAAGCTAATTATAATGCTTTGATTATTGAGTGGCTGGAATAAGCTCCTGTAATGAAGCACAGTAGGACTGATTCGAAAACTACTTTAAAATATAAAGATAATATTAGTCAGAGTGTAATGCTGGATGTATGGTGTTCTGGCAACATTATTTTAATGTACTTTCTGATTTAACACATAACTAATTTTACAATATTATTCAACAAATTATTCATATACATTTCTGCTGCTGAGGTAATATTTCCAAATGCTTATATATATGTATGTATACTATTTAAACAAACATTTGGATTTAATACCTCAGCAGCAGAAATGTATATTAATGTTCAGTTTTTTAAATTGTGCTTTTCAGATATATGAACTGCGCTTCAGTCTCGCCCGTTCAACACTCAAACAGAAACATGTCAACATAAACATCAGTCAATAACCGCGACATTAATAACCCAGAAATCAAAACAAAGTGAAGCGCGAGACTGAAGTTCAGCAGAACCGCGTGTGTGTGTGTGTGTGTGCGTGTGTGTGTGTGTGTGCGTGTGTGTGTGGATGAAGGAAACCCCGCGAGCTCTGTCAGTAAACGCTAAACTAGTTCCCGCGCACCCGCTTTACAGCAAACACAGTAAACAGCTTAAATGACGGCTGAATGTCAATCATACCTTTATAAATATGATTCTGTAGTTTAATAAAGCCCAAGGACACACACTCATACACAGACACACACACACACACGAGCTCCACGACGCACTGACGGCGCTGACGTCACTGACGCCGCTCGGCGCTGATTGGCTATTATGTGCGCAGACGTCATTAAACCAGGTCTTGCTAAAAGTTCTGATTAACAGCGAGTTAGCTAAACGGGTTAGTTACTCCGTCGAGGATTATATTATATTCCCAGAGATCCATTCAGCCGTTTCCATATCACAACAGCTGTTTATTATAAACTGGAGCAGAAGGTTATATTTTAACTCCGTGCACATGTTTATATACATGTTTATATCTGATTTCATACATTTATAAAAAAAGACTCTAGAATATTTTACTAATTAACATTCATTTAAAATGTATGTTTTATCAATTCAGTGATCATACATTTATAATAAATTTAAATATTTTATAGTTTTGTTTGTTTTAATGTATCTTATTTATCTTTTTTGTTTGTTTTTTTTTTAGCAAAAATGTCCAGTTTTCTTTAGTTTAAGATAAGCGTTGGTTAAAAGCAAAACTCTACACGACTAAACACATTAAGCGATTAGCTAAATGTAGTTTATATATCCTGATTGGATATATAAAACGGATTGGTCCGTTTTGATCAGCGCTGAGTAAAATAACAGCGATCAACTGAGAGTTTTTATCATGAGCGGGAAAAATTAAACCGAGACTGTAACGGTCAGTGAGTTATGATGAGGAGGAGGGAAACATCATGAAGCACCGTGTCGAATGAAGATATCTACTCATTTCTGACAGGTTAGTAAGATTTATCAACTTATTTATGGTCACCTTTCTTTAAGGATCGTTAATGTCTTTAAACAGTATACCATCGAGTTATTTTCGCACTGTGCTAGCGTGAGTTTGTGTTGTCCATCTTTTCTGTGCGGCTAACCCATATATTCCACTCATATTTACCCTCATGGCTGATTCAAATACTTTTAAGCTGATGTATTTCCAGCATGGGGCACTTCAGAGCTCAAATCTGTCACAATAGCGCCACCTGTTGACCACATAGTGTTGTATTTTCCTCATCAGACCACAGTAGACTGACTGAAACGCACTGCTTGTGTTTATTAGCTGTTTTTTCTTCAATATTAGAAACAGTGCATCATAAGGAGAAAATAATAACAATATCAAATTGAAACCATGAAAAAAGACGAGACAAACAGAAAACAGCTGAAAAGAAACACAATCCCTTATTTGCAGCGGTATAAACTTCGCGTAGATATATTCATATGTACATATTAATTCATAATTACATGGGAGAGGAAACTAAATGTACAATGCTACAAAAAGTATTTACAAATCAATAAATACACATACACGCTCACGAACCAAACCAAAGGCAGAAGTACAAAGGACGATTCATATTGTACAAAAATTACAAAAAAGAACATACAAAATCAGCGTGTGTGTGTGTGTTATAGTAAAGTATATTTTTGTAAATATGTTTAGACAGTGAAAAAGACAAATGGCACCAACAGCGGTGGTGTTCAGATCTGATCTCGGTTTCCTGAACAGGCAGTGCTGACCTCACTGGACGACTGAGATCTTTGGCCCTTTGGGTGTCGTTGTCAAAAAACACAAGACATGAACACGCAAAACACAGACATTAAACGTGTAGCAAGCACATGCACACACACTCACACTCACCGAGACACTCACACAGATTCAGTCTTAATGATCTACAGACTGGCGTTACACTTCACATCCACTTCTCTCTTCCCACATTTGATGAGAAACTCTGTGTTTCCCAGTGCAGTAATACTGTGCCAGAGTCTCTGGAGCACTGATACAGAGCGACAACACACAGCAAATCTCCCAACACTACAGTCAGAATATCGGGTCAAACACAGTGCATTACAGAAGGGGCTTTCACACATCAATGTGCGCACACAGACAGGTGTATCTGTCTGCGGACTGCAGGACGGGGCGTAACATGAAGGGATGTAACTTGCAGTAAGTTAGAGAGGCTTAACTTGCAGTTTTCGAGATCCCATTGAACGATGAGAGATGGAAATACTCGCGAGATGAGAGATGGAAATAAGTGTAGATGTAAATAACTGAGATGGTTGGGTTTAGGGGTTAGGAAGGTGTAGACATTAACAAAGACGATGGTTGGGTTTAGGTTTGGGGAAGGTGTAGACATTAATGATGATGATGGTCGTTTTTAGGGTTGGGGTAGACGTTAATAACTGTGATGGTTGGGTTAATAGTTGGGGAAGGTGTAGACATTATTAATAACTGTGATGGTTGGGTTTAGGTGTAGAGTAGGTGTAGAAGTAAATAACTAATGTACAGCGCCATCTTGCCGACAACATAGTTATGACATGTGGGTTTTCATAACTTCATGTTACGCCTCTAACGAACTACAAGTTACGCCCCTTCATGTTGCACTCGTCTTGCAGTCAGCAGACAGACCCTACTCCACACAGCAGCTGAAGTTGTCTTTTTCCAGCCAGTCAGGCGAATGCGAAGATACTGAAGCTTCATGAGAACGAGTTGCAGCTCTCTATCGCCGGGTTTCCATAGTGACCTGTAGCAGATCTTTTCGCCAAAAAGTATAAATGTGAATCAGGAGCGTTTCCATCATTAGCGGTGATTCCATCCACCTATTTGTATGCACATTTCTGGAATATCGCGTTAAACAAAATGCTGAATGGAAACGTCACGATGCGCTTAACATGAGTAGGATGAACGTTTTGTCCAGTGTGCATAAACACAATTAGTGAATAACCTGCCTGCGCTTCATCAGTGTCTGCGCTTCAGTGCTGTAGTTTCTGCCAGATGCTGATCAGATATAATAGTGTGTTTGAGGGACTTTGCATCATTACTGTTGGTTTGCAGCTTTAAATGTTGTTGTGCTGATTGTAAAAGGCCTCAGCCCTCCGTCATCACAGTGCTTCAGTATTCTTCTTCTTCTATTATTCCCTCCAGAACTGTCTTGAGCATCTGTCTGCGCTCCCGTCTCAGCCTCCAAAAGCCACCGCATTCACCGTGTTCACTGCGTTTGGTGTTGGTGTTGTGAGGCGCAGCTCAATTATTGGAGGAGAACAAACAGCACAGTGGAGAATCCCCACAGTGCAGCAGACTCCACTTCCCTCAGTGATATCTGATAACAGTGTCTAATGTTTAATACCATATTACAGTTTTACGCATCTTTGGATGGAAACACAGCTATTGTTAGAGCGGCTCACTGTAGTATTGGTAACCTAGCAACCAAAAGCAAACAAGGCAAGGAAGATGGAGTCATGAGGGTGTAGTGTTCATCAAGTGCTCAAGTGAGCATAAAAACTTTAGCGATTTTTTTTAGTTCACTCGTTTCTCTTGTGATACTTAATTAACACAGGCTGATGGAAACCCAGCTGACGAGAGCGTCGGCAAAATGGAGACATTCATTTCCCCTTTATAATAAAAACACTCATCATGTCAGACACATGTTCATCATGTTCACTATGCAAATTTACAAACAAACCTCCTTTATAGAGGCCAAAAAGTGACTTTGTTGTCAAACGACGATTTTCACAGTCATGTGAGAAAGTAAAGCTTGAGACAGAAGTGGCCTGAGCACCGGCGTGAAGCATGGAGACGCATCGCCGGACACATTCAGATGAGCGCCGCTTCCTGTCATGTGATCAGCTCTGTGGCATTGTGAGTACTGCAGTTCACGCGGCGTGAGCTCTCCATCTGATGCGCTTCAGTCCTCACGGAGCGTTCTCTGACGGCACAGACGACTGTAAACACACAGATGGGCTGCCGGACGCCTCCAGAAGAGTTCTGCCCTGCTCAGAAGATTCCCTTGGCGATCTTTAGGCCTTTCTGCTTCATGCGAGGCAGAGTGGAGCTGGCCACGTGTTTGGTGCGGCCCGATCTGGGGAAACCTCGCTTCTTCAAGACAAAATCATAGTTGGCTGTAGAGTTCATGGCGTAGAAAACATTGGCGTTGTCGGGAATCTTCAGCTCTGTGTAGACAGACAATAATAACAGGATGCACATCAGAATCAGGACACAACAATGAAGGCAAACATCAGCAAATGGGTTAATACACTTTCTTGTTGCGATTAATTGCTGACACATTTGATACAATATTATCACGATATTGATTTAAGCTGCAAAAATCATATTTTAACAGGTATAATACTATTGCTTTATTATAATAAATATCTAACAATATTAGATAATGCATAAAAATAGACATCACCACTGCACGATGAATATGGTTATACATAATAACTTTAACTGTTAAAAGCTATTAGTTACTGGTTAATTAAAGATGAGAGTAGCTAATAAAGGTATGGGTATGATATAGATTGTAATGCAGTAATGTGCACTCTCTGTAAAGCTGCTCTGAAACAACACTTATAGTGAAGGTGCTGTACAAACACACAAACTACAATCAACAGTGAGAAATAACCACATCTCTCACAGTTACCACAGCTCAACAATAAGGACTGCCCGATAGCCCAAGGCCAGTGCGCGAGACGCTCGGGACAGTACACAGGATGGTTAGTGGTCCGATTGGGCCAGTGCTGCCTCATCACTAAAGTGTAATTTGGCTGCGACTGTTTGTCAATTGCATACAAATACAGTCTAAGAGTGCTTTCACATCTAGCCGTTTGTTTGGAAACCTGTCTCGCTTGCCCAGTTAGCACGGTTCGTTTGGCATATGTGAATCCCGCAATCGCGCTCAGATCCGTGGCAAATCAATCAGTTCCAGATCGCCTGAATGAGGAGATCTCAGCTCAATTTAAACTAACTCTGGAGTGGATCGATTGTAGTGAGAAAGCAAAACAATCCAACGAACCAGGCAATATCACAGTGCATGATGGTTATGTAACAGCCACATATACGACTATATAAAGAGAGGATGAGGAGTAGGGCGGGATGTCATCATTCCCAGCAGTAAGTGTGTGTTTCATGTTGAATATGACAGTGAAAGCATGCTGAATTATTATTGAGAGCTGTTCAACTGTTAGGAGAATTGACCAAAACTACCCTCTGATCATCTCTCCATATTTTAATCTTATAATATTTTGCATTAGGCCTATTGATGTGTTCATTTCTACACTGACACCTCGACAGAAAGATTAACACTGATCTGCTTCATGATCTGACTGCAGTCTCGCTTCATCTGTTATTTCTTTCTATAATTTAGGCCTATAATGTATAATTCTAGCCATAGTTTCTATTTTTAGATTGATTAATTCTATAGATAGTCTCATTTCAAGTTTTGTAAAACTCTATGAGAAAGCCTGACCTCTCTGATTTGGTGACGATGTCTGTGGGAGCCAAAAAAAGTGCACATATTTACTTATTTTATATATAAATAAATATATATATATATATTTTTTATTTAGTTTAATCACAATTGTAATTTTCTTAATTGTCAGCTGTATTTAAAGAAAAGTTATGCTCAATATAAAGTGTATGTATACTTGGGATGCTCAAAATAATCAATTAACCGTTAACTGAAAGGGTGCGTTTGTAACTGATTAAGGGTCTCGGTTAAACCAGTGGTTCTTAAACTGTCTCTCCAAGTACCACCATAATGACTGGTGAAATACAGTAGCGTAGTAGACCTAATTCAGCAGCTACAGCTCTGCACAGTTCAAAAACGTGGCAGATTAATTCTGATCACATATTTAAATTATAAATTATATCTGCTTACTGCACCTTAAAGTACACTTTGTGTGTCAGAAAAGCAAGTGATTAAACTTTGCCTGTCAACATTGGGAAATGAAAATACGGAATACGCCCCAACAACCGTTACAAATAAGAGGAGGAGGTTAGCTTCAAATAATCGAATACATAACAAACATAAAAAATAAAATAAAAGGTTTAGCCTATTAAAATCAATTTACTGATCACATTGGTGTTATCGTACGCACAAAAAAGGTTTAAAGTGTGTTCATTTTTTTACCTTTAATTATTTAGCGATTCCTCCACGTACCACTAGAATGCCTAACCTCTAAATGTCAAACTGCAGCACATGTTTGTTAACTCGCGGGACGATAATGTATGACCACACGTGCCCACAGACATACTGGCCAAAGAAGCAAAATGGAAGAAGAATACTGCTGTTTGATTGCGCACTTGAACCACGAGCGAGAGAGGAGAAGCAGCACAGAAGCATAAAACCAGACTCTCAAGACATGATCAAAATGATGAAAGTGTTAAAGGGTTTGTGATATATGAATAACAGCGGAGCATTAATTAAACGCATATTTTCCGTGGAGTGAGCGATTTGAGGTAGACTGCTATATTTACTTGACGGAACACAAAAACATATGATTGGGAAATAAACAGCCTGTGCCGATTCGTAAAGAGGATCAGTCAGTGTTTTTGTTTCCTAATCTAAATTAGTCATTTAAGTGAAAGACGTTTAGGGCAGGCCTATTCATTTTATTATTTTTCTTTAGTTTATTCTGTTCTTCTATGCTGTTGGAAACACTGCAGGTGAAGATGCTCTGTTATGTCCTGTTAATAATATGCTAGCATGGTCAAATAAATCAGTATTTTAAAGTGCGATATGTAATGTGTCAGACACAAAATAGACACATGCTTTTTTTTTTAATTAAATAATTTCATATTAATCTGACCAGTTAACTGTTAATATCCCATTAAGAAGCGGCAGTTGTTGATTAGCAAAATTAACTGAAATGAGCGTCCCTAACATATAGAGTTATGTCTATGGCTTTTGACACATTATTTAACATATGTGGCTAAGAAATAACTACTAACTTTTGTTTTTTGGGGCAAGTGTAAATTTTGGCAGGGCACGTCTGAATTTTAAAAAATCCTTAGCGTTGAACCCTCGTTACTATTTTAAATTTAGTTAAATAAAACAATTAAATTGTCAGTTATTAACTCTTTACTTTATTAAAACTCTTATTTAGAATTAATAAACGATTACCTGCTCAGGGCAGTGTTTAGTGTCTAATGTTGTTGTTTAGTGTCCAGTAGCTGTGTAATAATCAGGATAAAGCACATCCAGCCGGGTGAAATAAAGCCTTCTACAGCAGTGCTGCGCTTAACATCTGCTGCTGATGAACCTGTCAGGCTTTATTCTGAGAGAACACCCTGCTGGATCCCTACATACTGAACACCCGAGTATCAGCACATGTCCCCTCAGCACAGCCCTGCTCATGTGTGTCGTCTGGTGTGTAGTGTTCTGTCAGACTGACCCTTCTCCTCACTGATTTTCTGGACCAGCTCATAATCCTCGGCTCGCTCGCGGTCCAGGTTGTGTTTGACCATGGCTTTCCTCACCACGGCAGGAGTTTTATCCTGACTGGTCACCTGAAAAACAAACAAACAAACACACACACACACACACACACACACACACACACACACACACACACACACACAGATGAGCATCTCCTCTGAGCAGCACATGGACAAAAACATTGTGATTTTTATTTACATATCCAATATAAGTATAATCCCATATTTACCC